TTTTCAGTCTATGGAGTACTGGTAAAATGAAAGTATATTCCTCATTTCAACGTGCCTGACTACGTAATAACATTTGGGATCACAGTTTGGGATCACAATGGGGTTGCAGCTATATCTTATAGGAACAGGAAACACTAGTCTGTGTTTGTTGTGATGCACGGAGGCAGGGGGTGGTCGGGGGGGTATACTTTATTTTTACGTATATTACTTAGCAAGCTTCAATCTATGGAGTACTGGTAAAATTTAAGTATATTCCTCATTTCAACGTGCCTGACCACGTAATATTATTTGGAATCACAGTTGGGGATCACAATGAGGTTGCAGCTATATCTTATACGAACGTATATTACTTACCTAGCTTCCTCTCATCATCTCTGGGTCTGAAAAAAAAAACAAGGCGCTTTAAAACACCATTCTACCTACAGCACCGTAGCGTCTAAAAGTCTAACCCTAACGCATTACATCATGCTAGCATGCTATCAGTCAAAAGTAAAATTTTGTTGATGCAGTATAGTGGTATACGTTCTGATTTTGAGGGCTCTTAACACAATTTCTTAGCTTAGCGGCAATTGAATTCATGTCTGTTCGAGTACAAAGCAAACGGCTTAACCATTATCCCACTCTATCCAGGTAGATTTTATCTTTCACTGATTCATTCTTCTTCTGAAGTGGCAAAAGAGCACATGTCTCAGAGTGCAAGGCGAAACACTTAACCTAATACATATTTTACAGCAAATTGTCAGTACAATTAAGATGCAGTGAAGCTGCTAGGTACAATTCCTTCTGCCTTTCTGTATGATTTCTTTCCCGTTCGGTAATCCAACTCGTGTCTCGGAGGGCATAGCTAAAAGACAAACTTTAATGCATTACACCAATCGGTCAGTACAAATTCATCATTCGTTTCGTGATGCAAAAAGGTACTGTATCTTCTACTTTCGTGGGTACAACAGTATAAGATTTCTTCGTCATGTGGTATATATTTATGGAACTCGTGTCTCATTGAGTGCAAAGCGAAAAGTAACCTGAAAATTTAACATTTTCAGTGATTCTACACGAAGGTAACATACCTTCTGTTTTCGTAAATGCAACAATAAACGACGAAAGCGATGAAGCCAACGATGAGGAGAACGCCGGCGATACAAGCCACGGTGATGAGAGCGACGAAAGCCGGGTCATCGATGGAGGTGTTGTCGCTGCTGTCGTTGCTACCGTCGTCGTAAAAGCTGACGCTGGACACAGGCAGATTGGCGTCAGAGAGGCCAGGCACTGGACTACCATCCGGGTTGGCTTGTAAGTTCTGAAATGAAATCAAATCTTTGAATGCATTCAAATGTCAGCCTAAGTTATTTCTTTTAAGCAATGAAACCATTAATCTTTGAATGCATTCAAATATCAGTCTGTCATTTTTTTTTAACCATCCGGGTTGGCTTGTAAGCTCTGCAATGAAATCAAATCTTTGAATGCATTCAAATGTCATCCTAAGTCTTTTCTGTCTTTAGATATGAGATATATCTACATTTGTGTTCTGAAAACAATGTTATATTTATGTGTTGCTGCTTGTATTTATAAAGCGCTCAGATGCTTGGGCGCTATAAAATGCCACATACATGTTTTATTATCCTTATGATTGTAAAAACCATCATGCTTCCAAAGACACAGTTTAGATAATTTCAAGGACGGTAAGTTTTGTGATGGTAGTGAGAAAGAAGAAAAGAAAAAAGGAAAATGATGGGAAAAAGAAGGAAAAGATTGGGGGAGGGGGGGCTGGTTGAAAAATACTCGATTTAATAGAAAAAGGATGTTAAATTGATAGTTCATCTCTTAAATATTCTTACAATGAAAGAAAGGGAAATGATGAAAACCAAAACGAAAAATGCTTGTGTATCTGGATGAACATTTCAGAAATTCTGGGTTTAAAGTTAAAGGTAGTTTGCAATGAAGGGTTTGATTATGAATTAGAAGCTGACAAAGTATTACGATTTGTGAGACAGGGTACGCAAGCAAGTATTTGAAGAAGAAAAAAACTTCGCATCGTTTGGTTTTATTCACATTGATAATACTTTGTTTCCAATGTTTGTTTGTTTCCAATGTTTGTTCGTTCGTTTGTTTCTTTGTTTCTTTTGTTTCTTAAGAGGCAAAAATAAGAAAAAATCGTCTTGATATGTGCTTCAAAAATGGTTAAACCGATACTTCTTTAGGAACTTTATTTTTTTACC